GATGTAATTCAGTGATGCCACATGTGTGCCGTCATCCACAGCAGGTTCCATGATTTTTCCCAGATTTTTGCGCATTTTTCCTGATTTTATATGAGCTGCTAACGGCTGATGTGTGGCACTCTAGACACGTTCACACGCTATTTATAGCTCCGGCACCATGATGCCTGTCCCGAGAAATCTATTGTGATTCTTCCGTATTTGTTCTGTATTTTTCTGTGGCCTGCAGGGCCAGGTATGGCTACCCACCTATTATTGGCAACAGCTCAGATCAAATCCCGATTTGGATCTCCATGCCGGGGATGCCGGGGCTGTCATATTCAAGCTCAGCAGTGCTGCCTGACACTGCATAGGGTACTCGGAAATCTAATACATTACAGACAATTGTAAAGGCTGTTTAATGTAACGGCTCTAATACATTAATCCTACAGCAACAGGTGTTCCTATTGTTATCTTCTTTGGGTATTAACCCCTATACCAGTTACTATATAATAACAGATGCTCAGTCGGTGATAGAACGACTGTATCAGTGTGCTCTACCTAATAACAGACGCTGCAATACATGTCAGCTAAGTATAGTACATCTACAGAGAGAAACATACCTCAGTCGGTGATAGAACAACTGAGGAAAACAAGCGGCGGTGATGCGCACGAAAAGTCTGCGCATTGTGTGCGTTTCCGGAATGCATCGGAACTAGGTATACTACGGGAATCCTACGCTACGCTACGGGCAGTCCGAGTTGTAGGAAAAGGTAATGAACATTCAATATTAACACTCCCCCTCAACGAGAATCCACCCCACAAACAAGTCCCAACATCTCCGTAAGCTTCTTGTGTTGTGGCCCCTTCAAACCCTTAGTTAAAATGTCAGCGACATTTTCCTCACTTGCAACATACTCCACCCTCATCTGCCCCACACGAACCGCCTCCCATATCCAATGCTCAGCAATCTTGATATGCTTGGTACGGTTAGAGATATTGTCAGGAAAATGGATCATGCGAAGAGAACTTGTACTGTCTGTATGACAAAGAGTAGGACCAGAGGGAGGGAAACCAATCTCTGTCAGGAGTTGACGTAGCCAGAGAACTTCCCAACCCGTGTGGACAGAGGCATAGTACTCCACTTCTCCAGTCGACAAGGCAGTAGTTGTCTGCTTCTTGGCTGACCAAGCAATACAACCCTTCCCAAGGAAGATCGCGTAGCCAGAAGTAGACCAAGCATGATCCAGTGAGTTAGCAAAGTCAGCATCGCAGTAGGTAAGGAGCTGATCATCCATGCCCTGGTAAGAGCCAAGTTCCGAGTCCCCTTGAGGTACACAAGGATACGCTTAACAGCATTCCAGTGACATCTGCCTGGATTTGACATGAACTGGGCAACGTTCTGGACAGCCTTAGCAATATCCGGACGAGTGAAGACAGCAATATGCATAAGAGAACCAACCACATTAAGGTATGGGACGTTCTTCATGAATTCGATGTCTTCAGGCGTAGATGGAGTATCGGACTTGGAGAGCTTCTTGCCATCAAGCATGGGTGTAGCAAGTGGCTTGATGTCCTCAAGATGAACTGACTTGAGTAGGGTGTCAATCTTATGGCGGTGAGAGAATGAAATGGTACCAGCCTGTCGATCCCGAGTAACCTTGACACCAAGCAAAGAGCTGATATCGCCACTGTCCTTGATAGAAACCTTGGACTTGATCTGGGACTTGAGACGAGTCACCTCAATAGTTGAAGAACATAAAAGTCCAAGATCATCGACATGAGCAGTGACAATGGAGAACTCCAAGCCAGTCTTGCGGATGAATACGCAAGGATCAGAGAGACAGACCTTGAAGCCAAGAGAAAGCATGATAGACTTGAGCTTCTGGTACCACAGATAACCAGCCTGCTTCAAACCATATAGTGCCTTCTTCAATCGCCAGACCCAGTCTTCCTCCCCCTGAACAATGTATCCCTGCGTCTGCTTCATGTATGTGGACTCCTCTTCAGGCATTTCACTATTGAGGAAGGCAGTATCCACGTCCACAACATGAATCTCACCACCAAGCTGGGTGATAAGAGCACAGATGACACGGATGGACTCCGGCTTCGCAACAGGTGCGAAGGTATCAGTGAAGTCGACACCAGGAATCTGAGAGAAACCCTGAGCAACGATACAAGCCTTATATCGAGTAATCACATTGTTGGTGTCTCGCTTCAGAGCATAGACCCAACGTGAACCAACAGGCTTACGTCCCCGAGGAAGTGGGACAAGCTTGAACATTTCCATGGCTGAGACAGATTTGAACTCCTTGTCCATTGCTGACTTCCACTCCTCGGCATCAGGAGACTCTACACCACCAAGTCTAGCACAGATGCTGTGCACGTGGAGTGCCCCTCTGTAGGGAAGCCACAGCCGCATGTGGCAAGGGCCTTCCGCACACCGGGTTGGCACATGTACGTTACTCATGCTGTGCGCGAGACCCTTCCGATGCCACACGAGTGTGCCACACCTGCGGGACCTGTGGACGAGGTCTGTGTAGCACACTGCACTTTGTCTCAGTGATCCCGCGGGGTTCTCCCTCTCAATGTATGTACCGAGTAGAAGTAACATATATATTGTACTATCGGTACAATGTGCTAAGTGTGATCCTCTCTCTGCCGTTTGAATGGCCTAGGAGGGTCAAGACCATCCTCCATGATGAATTGTACTTCACCATACACCCCACCCTTGGGAGAGACAACCGTCTGATTATCTCCTATCTCATGCTCCATTATGAATTCTAGGTCGGCGGGCTCTCAATGCTTATCCTGCTCTCCCAGCTCAGCGTCACCTTGATGCCCCACCGGGGACTGTGACTCGGCGACATTCGAGCCCTGCGCGGGGGCTGTACCAGTCTTGCCCGCTTTTGCTACTTTCTCTGCGGCTCGTTTCAGCCTTTCGGCCTCGAGCTTCTTCTGCTTCTCATTGTAAGCCTGCCGTAAGGGCTTGACGAACTTCTTGTGACTTTCGTAGCGGTCTTGAATATAAGGGACAGGCGCAACCAATGCACGAGGCAGGATGGTGCGAAGCATATGCGCGTTATGCAACGCATGCATATTAATGATATACCGCTCTACATCCTTGTGCTCAATGAACTGTTCATTGACCCCGGATGCTTCACGTTCCTGCATTCGAGGACGAGAACCTGTTGCCGAGCATCCCGCGTATAGACAATCATGCTGCACATTTATGATAAAATGAATATCCTGAGTGATTACATATTCGTCAGAATGACCTGGTAGCAATTCAACAACTTCCACGCACCTTTGCCAGCAATGTTATCGAAGATTTCTCTCCTTGGCGGAGGCGGAGAACCGGCATATCAAAGACCGCATGGCATGCGGAGCTGACTTCAAAAGCTTCAAGCACTACGTAGGTTGTCGAGCCGGTCTTTTGTATCAATATCTGCTTGATCCTGCCAGCGATACTTTTGTCCTCGTGGGGGATCAATACAAGAGTGATCAGAGTACTTATGAGAGCCTCACCACTGCAAATGGGGACTTGCCGAACACCCACGAGCCGACTTTACAGACATCGGACGATGCTGCAATAATGTGAACGCCGGGAATCCAGCTGGAGAGCGGCTCGTGTGAGGGTGGATTGAGAGACTTGATTGCCTCTGTTGAGCTCCAAGCTACCTCCACTCGTCGCACCTGAGGGACAGCCCGAGCTGTGCCTGGGTCCTTAAAACTTAGATACATAAGGGGCTATTTATTAATACAACACACCAGGTGTACTCGGCTTCGAGACGGTCCAGCCAAGATGATTCTGCAGAATCTTATGCTTTCCGAGGAAGCTGCATACCTGGGGAGATGCACAGACCCACTGTCCATCAGTCTGCTGCCACATACCCCCTGTGATTCGCTGCTTGAAGGCTTCTTGATCAGCAAGTTGTATTGCAATGTCATGGCTTGGAGAGATCCTGTTTGAAAGGATAGCACAGAAACGAAATATCGCATTGAAGCACTCAAACAGCTCCGTGGACCTCCCAATTATTGGCCCAAAGCGGCAGATATCCTCGGGGAGGTGGTCAAGTAGGTGTAGCTTGATCTTTGTTGAAATCTTCGATGGATCGATCTTGGCAAAGATGTCAAGCACATTTGCCGCTGCCACCTTGACGTCTGCCTGTTAATGGGATGATTCGTGAGCAGAGCAAGGAATGAAACCAATATATAGCCATACGATATACTCTTCGAAGTTCGGGATCTCAGGGAACCAGAGAAGTGCACATAGTGAACCAGTGGCCTTCCAGAGATCGAACTTGTTTGAGTCCACAAGTTCGTACAGGTGGAAGACTGCCGTCTGCAGGATCTGTTTGAACTGTTTCCCGATTAATGAGTTGCGGTACTGCCAAAGGTAGCTTGCTCGTATCGGAGGAATTGTCAGACCGTCAATAGAACTCGATTGCAGCCGCAGGAAAAATATTGATTGCTGCTCTTCTGAGAGTGATGTATGGGTCATATGCCATCCGTACTTAACCACCCCAAGGAGGATTGTGTGTAAAACTTCGATCGGGGTGTCGCGGCTGGGATCAAAACCTGTAACTCGGCGTGAGCGATCACATATTTTGCGCAGGGCCATGGACGAACCTGGTACTTGTAAGAATGGATTGTATATATTATCGCCGTTCTGTATCACCCATTCCATTAATTCTTTTGCAATATCTTCTTCGCTGCGGCTACGGTTTGCAGCCTTCAGTTCCCTCGCACGCTTCAAAAGCATGTCGATCCAATGCTGTGTATATGAATCTTTTACACCTGTATCAGTCTGCCGGGTGGACACGTGCTTCGTGACACCATGGCATGCAAGCTGAACCTGTGCCTTAACTTCAGAGAGTGTTTCCTTTGCGCTTCGTGGTTCTTGTGCCTAGCAGGTGCAAGTTGATGCTTAATCAGTGATAAGAGTGTGTACAAACATACCTCAAAGAGGCGATGGTACCCTTCATCTGTAACACGGAAAGCCTCAGAACCACCCCGCCTACACCTGCGGCAGTCATAATTGCCATTGCTGCCAATGTGGCCGCACTCTTCGCTTTGCATTGGGTTGTCGGCATCGGCATCATTCACAAACAACCTAAAGCGAGAGAACTCCGTCGCTCCAGGGCTAGGGACCCGTATCGGATCCGTTTGCGATGCCCTGTCAGTGGGTAAACTATTCACTTTTGATTCAGGATACATTAGTATGCAAATACGTACTCGATCATGCGCTTCATAGCAGCAAACTGCTCAGCAACAGTAGCGTTGGGAGATGTAGATGCGAAGTGAACATGGAATTCCTGCTGCAGGAGTTTGCGTGGTAGGTTACCATGAGTTATGTACAGGTTCCAGTGTTTGTTCCAAGACTTGGAACGATTGGCTGAGACATCATCAGCCCACACGGTAATCCAGCTGGAGTACAAGGGTTCGCCTTGAGCGAGACGGTGGAGGGAGTTGGGCATTGCTGATAAATGATGCTTCGAGCGTTCTAAAAGGCATGCTTCAGTATCTGAAGAAAGCCATTGTAATTCCTAAGCATACCACAGCAGGGCGGAAGTTGTCTTCGCTCACATAGGTCAAAATAGTTGAGGATGAGATCAGCGGCTTTGATGTTCACAAGCCGCTGGTCGTCGATCAAGTATGTTGCAGTCCCATCGTTGTTTGGTGTCACGGGCCATGCATCGGCCCATAGTTCTTTCCCATCACGAAGCTTCCAACGTCTCGGGATTACGAAGTTGCCACTGCGTACCATTGCTATCTCATTCACGTAGTAATAATTTCCG